ACAAGAAACGGCACCGCCCCATGCTTGCAAAACGCATTGCCCGCGAAAGCCTTTCGCATCTGATCTACAGCCTGGAACGTAAACTCACATAGAATAGACTGATGTACAAAATCGTGCGTGTCTACTTTGCTGTTCTGAAAATCACGACGGAACCCATGGAACCCGTTACGGATGCCGTGGGGGCCCCGGCCGCTCGGCACCACGAATCTAGCGACCTCTTTGCCAGCACCATACAATTTCGAATCATCAACAAAGGCCATGAACAACAGCTGGTTCTTAAGACTGTGATCGCTTCTCCCCGATATGCGTAGAGGCTTGAGGTCGGCAAACGACAACGCCTCCCTCTCCCCAAGAACGGCCGCCATCCTTTTCAGCTGTCCCACCGTCGGGGCGAACCCTGTGTTGGAAAGCTCTCGAAGGGCTAGCAAACGGGTGGGCGCCGTCGGCTGGCCCGCTCCCCCAGCCCCGTCCGCACCAAAGTCACCATCGGAATCGCTTTCCTCGCCCGAAGCACGAGCGAACTTCCAATTCCTTGGAACACCCCCCCTGGAAAAAAATTCAGTTGTGTTTTGGCAACGCCTGTTGGGCTGAAAAGCCTTAGTAAGTAGCCGAGGGAACGCCAAGATTTGGTTAACTATTCGGTCTCCAAGGGCAAAATACAGAAAGGGCGCGTTATCTGGCAACGCTTCCCTCGAGAGGCGCGGGATCTCTAGCAGAAGCAAGGGAAGGAGATCCAGGCCCCAACAAACGGCAGCCTGCATGTATATAATGTCTCCCAACTCTTGCGGCGACGTCTGAGATTCCGCCGGGCAACGCTTCGAGGCCTCTTTCATTGCACCCCACTGGTCCTGCAAAGCTCGAATCGTGGGAGACCTGGCGAGCACGATCTCCTCAAGCCTTAACGATGACACCAAAGTTCCCAAAACACAACCATTAATCGAACAACCCAAATCATTTTTACGTGTCTTGTAATCTCCCTCCGGGCAAGAACGTAAGCGACATAAGGCTTGAAACAAAGGCCAGAAAGCATTCCGATCTCTCTGCGACATCAGATACTGGCGAGCGGACGCCATGGCTGGCCCGCCCACGAGAGGGGGCCTCCCTCAGCCCTGCCCCCGCTCTCTGGAGCCACGGCGGACAGGTTGGTTTCAGCAGGGGCAGGGGCAAGGGAAGGAAGAGGAGGAGGAGGAGCAGGAGGAGACACAAGAAAGGCAACACTCCCGTGAACATGAGCGTTCGTGGCCCCATCAAGCCTTTGATGCACACACACACACCTACCATGCTGAATGCTACCTCCACTGCCGACTTATCGCCAATCTCCCTGCTGCTCGTCAAAGGGGGGGCAGGGGGAGGAAAAGAAGGAGAGGACGAGGAGGAGGGGCAGGAGCAGGAGGAGCAGGAAAGAGGGCTAAGGCGTAGGGCGCTGGACAGCCAACCCCCGGGCATTCAAGAGAGCGCCGACGGGAGGCTCCCCCGCAGTCTGAGGTACATGAAAGCACACACACGCACACACACACACTGCCGCCATCTAGCCGCACGGAAAAAGCTTCTATCCACCTCAGGCGTGCTTGTTACAGCCGACGGGACAGGCATCAGCATCAGCAGCAGCCGCAGCAGCAGCAACCGCAGCCAGAACAGCAGCAACAGCAGCAACAGCAACCCGGACAGCTGCAGCAGCAGCAGCAGAACCTCAGATGGCACAGGAACCAACTGGCATTGCTTGCTTGGCGGTGCGATGGCCTCGCCGGGCCTCAACACATGGCAATAGGCACTCCCCTGCGAACAGGCATGCTGCACCCTCCCTTCGAACTGCAGCCTTGCAAAGTACAACGCACACAGAAACAAAAAGGAAGGGAGAGAAGGGTCAGCCAAGAGTGCCACGGACGACGCTGGTCCCCCGGGGTTCAGAAGAACCCCGACAGCCAACCTCCCCCGGAGCACCAAGGCGAAGCAGCGCAAAAGCAGGCAACACCCCCTCCCCAGCCAGCCCAGTAGGCCACTGGACAACGGGCTTCCAAAGAAAAGGGAAACAACATGCAGCACAAGAGGACGCTCGCAACGCTGGCTTTGGCGGCACTGGCGGCAGTGGCGGCGGTGGCTGCACATGGCCGGCGCGCCACCCACGCCGCGCCCAGACGACCAGGGCGTCCCCCGAACCCGGCAGCCCAGCCCAGGCTTGGCTCAGGCTGAGGCTTGAGCCAAGTCTTGAGCCAAGGCTTGAGCCAAAATGGCTTGAGCCAAAATGGCTACGGGGTGTAAACAGATTTTGGTGTGGATGCATCCATGGGCAGCGCGGCCGTTGCGTTCGGCTCGGCGCAGTACAAGGGTATATCCTTCCACGGTATGTTCCTGTTCTAGAGCAGCTCCACATGGTATTCCAACCGCAGTGTGTCTCCCAGTATTCTGCCACTCGCCGTGGTGCTGTTGAATTAGGCTTCTCTGGCCCCATCCTTGGCGCTCTCCTCGTCGTGCTGGTCGCAGTTGGGGTTGCTGGTCCCCTGCGTTGTGCTGGTCGCGATGGAGTTCTTGGCTGGGGCAGTATGTATCCCTCGTCGTTGTGGTGACCGTGGTGCTGCCAGCCGCCTTGCCGCTGGCCTCGGTGGTTCCGTTTCCTGTTGTCTTGTTGGTCGCCACGGCGATTTTCGCCATCGTGGTGCAGCTGTCGATGCTGTTGCACCTCGGCGGGGTGTCGGTCGCATGTGCACAGGTGGCTGCAGAACCGCTGATCGGGCACGCTGCTCCATGCATCGGTGCAGCGGTGCGTCGCGCTTTCCTTTTGGCGGAAATATTCTATTGGTGGCGTCCGCGGCACGGCACCTCTGGTCGCAGCGAACAGATTATCGCGCTTGCTTTGATGATGGGACGTATTGCCACTGGCTACTGTGCTGCTCGTCTTGGTGGGGCTGCTTTTCGCCGTTGCGTCCAGCGGCTGGGGACATTCAGCACAATCTTTTGCCATGGAGGATTCATGGCCAGAGCGGCGACGCCGACAGCGACGGCGGCGGCGACCACGACGATTGGCGACAGCGACGGTGGCGATGGCGACGACTACGGCGAAGGCCACGGCGCTGGCGTAGGAGACGGCGGCGACGGCGAGGACGGCGACGGCAACCACCATGTCGGCGACGGCGACGGTGCTGGCGAGGGCGACGGTGGCGACGGCGAGAGCGGTGACGGCGACGACCACCACAGCCGCGACGGCGATGGCAACGCCGGCCACGACCGCGACGTCGACGTCACACATCTACTTGTGCTCGAACGAATGAAGTGCTCGCGCTCAGTAAGTACGCAACGCGGAAGCGCATGCCATGGGCTTCTGGAGCGCTGGCGCTGAGACAAATAACAGTACTGGGACGCACCCTTCTTTCCAGCACGGGTTGCTGGAGCGTCCTCAGTCGGTGAAAACCAAGCGTTGGAGCGCTACCCCGCTTGTGTCGCTAAAGCTGCAAGGGGAGGGGGTGGAAGGTGCGTCAGCTGGGGCTGCCATTGTTGTGCTCGCGCCTCGTTCCCAACATCGCGACAGACGCAACGATAATCAACACGTGAAGATCGCCGCCCCCAGTACGGCGTCATTTCCCACGAGCCAGAAGTATTCCACTGCTTGTAGAGGAGTCCAAGCTCTTGGTCGTGAAGGCAAGCACAGAAGGGGCGCAGGCGGCAACAATCGACAAACGCATCATTTTTTCACGCTCCTGGATATCAGCTGCATTTTTGTTCGTGCGGTTTTGGCGGTCGCCACGACGAACGGAACATCTGACCGAACCGCGGATTGCACCAGGACCCGCAGGTGAGAAACATGCCTCCAAACACGGCGGACTTTTTCCGTCGGCGGCGAGGCGGGGCAATCCGCACCAGCGAAAGAGCGAAGCAGGGGCACTACTAATCTAGTCCGGCGTGCAAGAGCGGCAGGAGGGCAAAGGGGCTGCGGGCGGAACGGGAAGAGGAGGCGCTCAGAGGCGGAAGAATTCCACCATGAGCGGGCTGGGGCGGCAGCAGCGGTGCAGCGGCGGCGAATAGGGGACCCGGCAGCGCGCGCTAGACGGGCCAGGGCCGCAGGCGCGTGGCAGGGCAAGGGGAGGCAGTACGGAACTACAGGCGCCCAGGGACAGCCACAAGGAAAATGCCGTCAAACGTGGTTCGTCGAATCGTGCGATGCCAAACGCACTCGTGCAACTGCGAAGCTAGCGGCTCGGCAGGGCGTCCGGGGCGGCGCAGGGGGCAGCCGCTGGGCCAGGGTCACGGCTGCGAGCGCCTCAGGGGGCGGGGCGGCGTCGGGGCGGCAGGCGGCCGGGGCGCGGACCACCAGGGCAGAGACGGCCGTCCCTACAGCAGCGAGGGCCAATGCAAACACAGCGAACACGCATCTGTTCAGTTTCGCGCGTCTCTCGCAAAACTCGATGGCAACTCATGCAACTTGTTATTCGCGGCGGCGACGACGACGGTGACGGCGAAAGAGATCACGACGGGGACGACGACGACGACGACGACGGCGACGGCAACTGCTGCGACGGCGACGGCCACTGCGACGGCGATGCAGCGACGACGCTGCCGAGGGCGATGACGCACGACAGATCAACGCTTTCAGCATTGCGTTCGCAATATTAATGAAAGGCCGAAGATCCCCGATGTGTGGGCAAACCCATGGAGGCTCTCGCATCCCGACAGGGAAACATCGCTGGGATCGATGGGCAGATTTGAGCTAAAGGCGATGCTGTGATTGTGCGTGAATCGCTTGCCTCATCAGCCAGATGGAAAGCACCATGAAGTGAATTGAACGGTGGCCTTTCCTTCCAGTTGGGCCGCATCGTATGAGACGACGCGACCGCAGAGTGCCGAAGATACCGCGCATCCGTACAACAAGTTGGCGGAAGCGTGGGCGGTCTAAGGAGCTATGCGGGAAATGCGATACTCATCGATTGCGGTTGGGCAGCCCGTGCCAAAAACGAGGCGTTTGAGTTTTTGCCGTCGAGCCGCTACCGCCCATATCTCTGGATCCTGAGTGGCATTCACCTGGCCCTGTAGCCCCGCATGAATAACAAGGCGCCTGCGATTACAGAGCTGCAGCTGAATGTCCAAGGCGTGTTAAAAGGCCACAAGGGGGGAGAGGGGCGGGGGAGATCGACCTCTCAGCAGAAGCACTGACCAGCTCCCCAGAGCTCCGCCCTGGCATTCCTGGTGCTCACGACGCCCCGCGTGGTGCGGCGGCGGATACGAGCTTCCGCGAGTGCCAGGATCGCGATGGTGCCCATTTCTCCGCGTCGTCGTCGTCGTACTTGTCCTCATCCTCATCCTCTTCCTCCTCCGGATTCCCTTCGGCGATCATCCGTTAACATTGGAACGATGCAGAGAAGATTAGCATTGCCCCTGCGCAAGGATGACACGCACATATCGAGAAGTGTATACATTTTCCACATATAGAATCATCCTTTTCCTCCTCCCTTCTTCTCCATCTTCGCACCTCGGAGTTGTTTCGCTCCTTTGGCCTCTCCGAAACCCGCTCGATCGTCAAGCTGGCGCTCCGTGCAGCCGAGCTGCCGCTCGGCCGCGCGAGGCGAGAGCGGCGGCAAGGAAACAGGGCCACCTTGCACTCCGACTCCGACGGTGTTTTTCCTTGCTCCTGCCGCATAAGGAAGGAAAGCGGGAGGGAGGGAGGGAGGGAAGGACGAAGACGAGGAGGCGGCGGAGGAGGAGGAGGGAGGAAGGAAGGGACGAAGAGGAGGAGGAGGAGGTGGAGGAGGGGGACTCGGTATCCCCTCGTCTTCCCGCTTCTTTTGTCCTGGCCGTTCCCATACTTCTCATGTTCCACACCGCATGCTCTGCGCGTGTGCTTCAGTTCTGGCTGCTCACGTGGCCGTTCGTCCCGAGACCCTCAGGCAGATCTGTTTTCTGCTTTCGTTGGTATGTGTCAAACTGCGGTGGAAAACGTAGAGGGGGACTCTTCCCATGATAGCCCGAGCGGCGACGGGCGCAGATTGTTCGCCACTGAAACTGCGGCAGCCGCTTCCAGCAGCAGTGCCGGTACAATTGGAGGCAACGACGTTCTCCAGGAGTCTCTCTTTAGCACCGAGTTCCTCACAGCCAGCATCAAGGCCGATGCGGCCTGTAGGCCGCTTCCTTCCTCTGATGTCAAGCGGATGGCTAGCAGAATGCAGCGGTTCGATTTCGGGCTCGGCGACGCTGTCCTGAGGGCGGGTGAAGCAGGCACCCGCTTTTATGTTTTTGCCAGCGGCAGCGCTCATGTTCTTCAAGATGGAGCTGTGTGCGGTAGGCTCACCCGCGGCTGCACTGTGGGTGGGGGCGCTCTGGCTGCCAAAGTCTTGGAGCCATTCGACGTCGTGGCGCGAGAACACACAATCGCATTCGGCATCGAGGGCGCGGAGTTCTTCAATATCATATCAGAGAACGCATGGCGCTCCAGATCGGAGAACCGTGGTTTCGTTGAGAGGGTCCCGATTTTCCAATTCCTACCTACGTGGGTAAGGGAACGCATCAGTCATCAGGCATGCCTGGCGGCGAATCTCCGCGCAGCATTTCGAGCGATCCGCGACATTGAAGGTCACCGCTCGCGGGACCCCAACACTGTGTTATTGAGCCCGCAGCGCAGGAGTCACGGCGGGCCCTCGGGGGTATGCTTGCACGCAGACTTTGCAATCAGCGGGTGTTAGGGACGCTGGCTCGACGAGGGTTGGTACCAATCGTTGCCGTGTTTCTTGGGGCTATGTTGGCGTCCCGTGGGGCGTCGAGCGGCCTCGGAGCGCAGATCACCCGAGTGGAGCAGGGCACGCGTGAGGGGCGTGCCGAATTGACAGTGTCGTTGCCTTGAAGGCGTTGCTCACTCGTATGCTTACGCATCCCCAGAGTCATATCAGAGAGGGGATGTGCGTGAGGGGTGCGCGCGCATCTCGCGTGTCCCGGGAGCTGTCACGCGCGTGGGCCTGGCGCTGGGAGCACGCTGCACTCATACTTTTACTTGCTCCGAGGGGAATTGATGCCACCTATCCTGGCGAACGGGAAGCGCCGCTCCTCTGAGTTTTCGTGCGCGCCCGCACGGATCTGCACGCAACGCGACGCGGGTACACATGGGGTACGAGAAGTTTAACAGCTACCTGCAGCTACACCACACCATGGTAGCCAACGCGCTCATCAGCAAACGTGCCTTTCAATTGCCACGGGCAGCGAACGACTCGTATTTCAATTGCAAAATGGCCACAGCAAACGTACCCACATTTCAACAGCTACCAGCAGCTACACCACACCATGGTAGCAAACGCACGCAGTCAAAAGCAAACGTACTCATATGTCAATTGCCACGGGGAGCAAACGAAACATATTTCAACGACAGGAGGGCCGCAGCAAACGTACCCACATTTCAACAGCTACCAAGAGCTAGGCCAAACCATGGTAGCAAACGCACTCAGCAGCAACCGTACCCACACAAGAGGGGTTACCACACCTGGCGATTGGTAAGACGTGTATGGTTTACGGGCTTGGTTACCACACCTTGCGATTAAAGGGCCGAGGGAGTTCTCGCAGTTTGGGTTACCACGCCTTGCGATGGATGAGCGTGAAGGGTGGCACCGAATTTCAGAAATGTGGCAAATCCCCGTGTTTTTGGACCCTGACCCCGCGGATCTGCGTGAGGGGTGGCACCGAATTTCAGAAATGTGGCAAATCCCCTGTGTTTTTGGACCCTGACCCCGCGGATCTGCGTGAGGGGTGGCACCGAATTTCAGAAATGTGGCAAATCCCTTGTGTTTTTGGACCCTGACCCCGCGGATCTGCGTGAGGGGTGGCACCGAATTTCAGAAATGTGGCAAATCCCTTGTGTTTTTGGACCCTGACCCCGCGGATCTGCGTGAGGGGTGGCACCGCATTTCAGAAATGTGGCAAATCCCCTGTGTTTTTGGACCCTGACCCCGCGGATCTGCGTGAGGGGTGTCGATTTCGAGCCCCCCCAGCAATTCAGACAACGCGCCCAGGAGACGCTAAAAATACCGTTTGGGCCTCCCCCCCCTCGCGCGGTCAATCAACTAGTTACAGCAACCAGCAATCAGTCAACTAGTTACAGTAACCAGCAAGAAGCAGAACTGTAACACTGGAAACTACAAACTACAACTGGTACAGGAAACTGCGACTCACGCGCCTCGCAGCCTGGTGGCCCCACAAGGGGGCCGGCGGATTTCAATTGCCTCCTCCTGATCGTCATCATGATCATCATCAGCACCATCATCATCATCATCATCATCATCATCATCATCATCATCATCATCATCATCATCATCATCATCATCATTATCATTATCATTATCATCATCATCATCATCATCATCATCATCATCATCCTCCACCTCCTCCCCCTCCTTCCCCTCCTCCCCCTCCTCTCCCTCCTCCTCCTCCTCCTCCTCCTCCTCCTCTTCCTCCTCCCCTCCCTTTCTCCCTCCGCCTCCTCCTCTTCATCCTCTTCCTCCTCCTCCTTTTCCTTCTCCTCCTCCTCCTCCTGTTCCTTTTCCTCCTCCTCCTCCTCAGCCCCCTCCTCCTCCTTCCCATCCGCCTCCTCCTCCTTTTCCTCTTTCTCCTTCTCCTCCTTCTCCTCCTCATCCTTCTTATCCTCCTCCTTCTCTCATTTTCCTATCGTACCTCTCTTGTTCCTCCTCCTCGTCGTTGTTCGAGGATTTCTCGAGTCAGAGCCTCATTCTTAACATACGGCGTTCTAAACGTCTTCGGAACAGCTCTTTCGACATCTCATTTGTTCGAGGATGTCTTGAACGATATGGCCATTTCTGGATTCTCTGCCAACCTGTCCAGGCAAGGACGGGAAGCGTGTCTTCTGTCATTGAAAATTGGTCAGATAACGTATCCTTGAGAGCGTGAAAGCCATCCGGAGAGGAACCACACACGGCCAACATAGTTGCTGGTACTTTATTTCGTTGGGCTGCCGTGCTCCTGCAATTTGCCGTGTTCCCGTGGTCTGCCGTGCTCGCGTGGTCTTGTGTGCTCTTAGGATATCCCGTGCTACTGTAGTCTGCCAGGCCATTCAGCCGTGCTGCTGTGGTCTCCCGTGCTGGTATGCCGTGCTCCTGTGGTCTGCCGTGCTGGCCTGCCGTGCTCCTGCGGCATGCCGTGCTGGTCGACCGTGCTCCTTTGTGGTCTGTCGCGCTGGTCTGCCGCGCTGATGTTTTCTGCCGTGTTGGTTTGCCGTGCTCCTGTGATGTGCCGTGCTTCTGTGGGGTCTGCCGTACCCCTACGACTTGCCGTGCTGGTTTGTCGTGCTGCCGTGGTTTGCCGTGCTGTGTTGCCGTGCTCCTGTGGTCTGCCGTGTTGGTCTACCGTATTGATGTGGTCTGCCGTGTTGGTCTGTTGTGCTCCTGTTGTCAGCCGTGCTCTTGTGTGGTCTGCCGTATTCCTGTGGTCTGCCGTGCTCCTGTGGGGTCTGCCGTGCCCCTGTGGGGTCTGCAATGCTCTGGTGTGGTCTGCCGCCGTGCTCCTGTGCGGCCTACCATGCTCCTGTGGTATTTCGTGTTCCTGCGGTTTGCCACGCTCCTGTGTGTTTTGTTCTGCTCCTGCGGTGAAAGCTAAAGTTAAAGACGGGGCCTTCAAGGCGTAAAGGCAACAGGGAAACCCGTTCGAAAGCAAAACGGGGCGGCCCCTTCGGGCCTGGGCAGGCGGAAGGGCCAGACCCCCTCAGACGCCCAACGGCCCCACCGAGGCGAGACCAGACCTACATACAGAATGCAACTGCACGCCTCACTCAGCCTGGCCGAAGACCTGAGCCGCCTCGAGCAACCGCAGCCCCTCGGCCAGATCGCCGCCCAGGATTGCCGCCCGGGCCGCCTCGACCGCAGCCAGCCGCTCCGGCGCTCGCACGCCAGGGGCATCGGCCTCGAGGCTGCTTTCAGCGTCCTCGCGCCTGGAGCCCGTGCGCTCCAGCCAGGCAGCGCGCGCAAGCTCGTACTCCGCGGCCCGCTCGCTGCCGTCCGAGAACTCGTCGCGCAGGAACTGCCCGTGCTCAGACCCGAGATCCTCGAACTCCGAGTCCCCCACGAAGCAGTCCTCGCTCTCGGCAGTCGCCACGCGGTTCGGCCGCCACGCCGAGCAACATGCCGCCATGGTGCGATCCTCCTCGGGCTCGCGGCCGTAGACAGCGACGACCTCACGCGCAGCCAAGGCCGCCGCGAGCTCCATGCCGCGCTGCACCTCGTCACTGTGTTCCTCCTCGGGCTCGCTCTCACCACCGCGCCTGGAGCCCGAGCGCTCCAGCCAGGCAGCGCGCGCCAGCTCGTACTCCGCGGCCTGCTCGCTGCCGTCCGAGAACTCGTCCCGCAGGAACTGCCCGTGCTCGGACCCGAGATCCTCGAACTCCGAATCCCCCTCGAACTCCGAGTCCCCCTCGAGGCTGTCCCCGCTCCGCCACGGCCGCCACGCCGAACAACGCGCCGCAGCAGCGCGATCCTCCTCGGGCTCGCAGCCGTACTCCGCGGTGATCACCTCCGCCTCGGTGCCCTCGGCGCCGCCCTCGCCGCAGCCCTGCTCGGCCTGCTGCGCCACGCCGAGCCCCTCCAGCAGCGCGGCCCAGCGCGCCCACTCGGGGAGGTACGGCTGGGCGCCAGACCGCAGCGGGGTCCTCGCGGCCGCCACTCGGGCGCTGGGCAGCCGCGCTGGCGCCTCGGCCACGCAGGCATCCCCAGCGCACACAATCGGCTGCTGCGCTTCGCAGACGCAGGTCTCCACCTCGCACACGATGGCACTCCGCGCCGCGCCGCCGCGCCCATCTTCAGGAAGGGGCCCTCCTGGGAGGCGCGGCCCGCGTTGAGCCCTGCGCCATTCCTGCGGCGGGGCGTCTGCCGACGGGCAGCGCTCGGCATGCCACGCGACGTTCCGCCGCTGCCGCTGCGCCCTGGTTTCGCGGCGTCCGCGGACGCGCGCAACCAAGGCGGGCCGCGCGATGGCTTCGCGGCGGAGGGCCTCCGCCTCCGCGGCGTCGCCGCGCGAACCGCACTCCAGCTGCGCCTGGAGGCAGGCGATGACTTCCTTCGCCTCCCGCAGCTCCCTGCAAAGCCGTCTCACCAGGTTGCCTGCCGCCCAGCGGGCCGCCGCGACACCGGTGAGCACCTCCCGCACCATTCTGCCCAAGCGCCCGCGCGCGGCGCGCGCCCGAGCACGGCTTGAGCCAAAAAAGGCTACGGATGTTATGTTCCTGTGGTCCGCTGTGTTCCTGCGTGGTCTGCCGTACTCCAATGTGGTCCGCCGTGTTCGTGCCAAGTGCCGTGCTCCTGTGGTCTTGCCGTGCTCCTGTGCGAAATGCCGTGCTCTTGTGTTGTCTGCTATGCGCCTGCGGGGTCTGCTGTGTTCCTGTGCTCCGCCGTGGTCCTCTATGGTCTGCCGTGCGTCTGTGCTTTGCCGTGTTCCTAT